GAAAAGCTTTGCCCCTAGTTGGTTCCTCCAGCACTTGCACCAGGAAATTGTCCCCTACGCTTTCCAAAAATTTTCAGAGGTACTGGTCCCAAAAATTTTTCTGAAGTCAATTGAAGGTGTGGGTACTCAGCATCTCTGAAATACAGACCCCAGGCCATTCTTTATTCCTCCTTATGGTGGGAAAAGCTGCATGAAGAGGTGTGTCTTTCCCTGCGCCCGAAACGAGGCTGAGTATTCCATACAGTGTACGGTGCTCTGAAAGTGAACTGGAATCAGAGTAATGTGGTTTTGAACTGATTGGACCCTGCTGTGCAGGCTGGTCATGCAAAATTTCATTGGACATTCTGCAGTATAAAACTCTGTTGAGTACTTGTTAGAGGTCTCAGGATTCATCAGTCACAGCCTTCTTCTCCAAAGATGGCTGCCATTGGCCCCTGAGTACTGCAGTATCATAGGAGGGTATGTGTCACACCCCCTTCCACCTCCGCTTATTCTACAGTCTCCTGCCAGCCAGGAAGACTGGCAGCCCTTTGTGTAGTACATATGGTTCACAGCCCTCTGCTCACATTCTTATTGAACACCTTCTTTTTAGAGCTTAAGTGGTACAGAGGGCCTTGTGTACCAGGGTGAATTCTATCCTCTAATATCAAACATTTGATTACACTTCATTAATTTAATTTACAATTAATAATACTTTATTTATTTATTTCTATTATCTATTTATTTATTTATATTAAAGTAGTGCCTAGTGAAATCTCAGCCCCAATCTGCTAAGGCCTGTAAAAACATATGGTGGAAGATGGTCCCTGGCTCAAACAGTTTACAAGCTAATTACATGTATTGCAAAACCACTTAAACAAATTTATTCTCCATAGTGTTTTACATATTATTCAGAGTGGGACTTAATCTTTAACAGGAGCAGAGTTGGGCCAGTGCTGGGTGCTTTTGAAAATTCCACACTACATTAAGTCTGTGCTCAAGTATCCTTCATCCTCCAGACCTTGCCCATCCTGTTGTTTGTTGAATTTAAAAAAAGTTATTTTTGGAATTTGTAAATTAAACTTTTAGAAGTTTTTATTAAAAAAATCCCAGTTAGTTCATGTGATACACAGTTAGCTTGCCTACTACAGTAAAGTCAGTGGCATGCTCCTACTTCACTTACTATTTAGCAAAGCAGATAATAAGCACTTACTGTTATTATATGGCAATATTGCAAACTAACAAATATTTCTCATTCACAACTGGCTTGTCCAAGGCTTCCGTAGCAAGTGTTTTAAATCCAGATCCCTTGCTGCCAGTAAGAAATATCTTAGGGCTTGGCTACATAGGAAATTAACTGGAATTGACATTGCAGAATAACTAGCTATTGCACTTTAAATTCACACCTTATTTTAAACCAAAATAACTTTCAAGGATACACAAGCCCTTAGAATGTTGCTGTGACTCAGAAAACTGTTCTGTGATTGGATTTTCTCCTGTAATGGAAAGGACAGTTTTCTCTCAAAACAGCAGGGGTAAAATCTTGGTCCCATTAAAGTCAATGGGAGTTTTACCATTGAATTAACTAGTATCTGTATTTCACCTTCGGTTATTGTTTTCTTTTAGTGTCCGTTATTACTAGAACCCTCCTTTGTGGGAGGAACCCTTGTGCACATGAAAGAGTCTTATTTCTACTCAATACTTCCCTGAGAGAAAGGTTGGTCTTGTGGTTAAGGCACAAAGCTAGACATTTCCTATGTGAATATGGGCAAGTGAGTTCTGGCTTATTCTTGCTTCCATTAAAAGTCAATGTGAATTTTGCTATCTATTTAAAAAGTATCAAGATTGGATCCTTGATCTTTTTGGGTGGGTCTTTCAAAGGAACCTAAGAGAGTTAAATGTCCATCTTCCTTTGAAATTCAATTTTCTTATCCATTAAATGAGGATAAAAATATCCATTCCATATGGGTGCAGGGAGACTTAAATCAGTAGTATAAGTAAAGAATTTGAACACCCATAAGCTGACAGTAATATATAAGAATAAAATATTAATATTTATATTGTTCATTTGGTAAATAATGATACCATATTGGTTTAAAAACACCTATGTTTCTCAGTATTGTTAGTACTTCCTAACAAATAGAGATGAATTTCACTGTAAAACTAATTTTTGATCTTTCTTTTATTGCCTCTGTTTAATTCTAGAGGGCCATTTTATCTTCTCGGTCACAGAATTACAACCAATGCACATTGCTCAGTTATAGTTTCATGGCATAATATAGTATTGTATTAAATTAATAGTATCTGGAAATATATTGTCTTGATATCATGTGGTCAAGCTGGTTTTCACAATGATAAAAGGTTGTACAAAGTTTAAAATCAAGATGACAATATTTTATTCAGAAAAAGAAATACACAGCCAGATTTTATGAACAGGACAATGACTGTGAAATATGAGGTGAGTAACTCTAGGTAGGATCGGATAGGTTTTCAGTTTGGAAATAAATTCATTGTTGAACAATCATGCTGGAGCATTTTACAGCTCACAATCACTTTCATTGCTTTTCGAAACCAAGGATAAAAGACAGAGTAAATCAAAGGATTAACGGCAGAGTTGGAATAAGTGAACCAAACCACAATGTCAAAGACAAGGGGTGGCGTTATGAAGTTAAAAAAAGCATCAATTATTACAGTTATAGAATAAGGTGACCAGAATACCACAAAAGCAATCACAGCAATACCAATGGTTTTAGCAGCTTTATTCTCCCTTTTGTTAACTCTGTCACTGTAAGTGTCAGGCAACTGGATGTTGTTGCTCATCATCTCTATCATTCTAGCTTGTCGTTTAGCCACAGCAAAGATTTTGCTGTAAAGTGCTATCGTTGTGAAAAAAGGTATTAGATAAAGGAGATTGGATACAACTACCCATGTTTTGTTGAAGAGAATCTGACAGCTCCCTACGCAGGAGAGGGCATTTACTAATTCTTGTATCCCTTTGTTATTAGCCCCAGTGAAGACAACAGAAAAACTGAATACTAATGAAAATATCCAGGCAACAGCTATGAACAAGCCTGAAACAGGCACTGTGAACTTGAGAGGGTAAATTAGAGGATCAGTAACAGCAACGTAGCGATCAACAGAGATGAAACACAAGTGAAATATTGATGAATAACAAAAAGATAGTTCTAAAGAACTATGGAATCTACAGAATGTTTCCCCAAAATACCAGCATGTTTCAACAGATCTTATACTACTGAAGGGCAGCACAGTCAGACCCAAACAAAAATCAGCACATGCCAAGGAGGCGAGCAAAATATTTGTAGGAGAGTGAAGCTGTTTGAAATAAGCAATTGAAATCATTACCATTAGGTTTCCACCTAGTGTAAGAATTGTCAGAAAACCAAGCACAACATACAAAGTTATCCGGATTCCTGAAGACCACGATGTTTTATGGCAAGATCCATTAATATTCTCAAAGCAATATTTCTGAAGAAGCACTGAAGTCATGTTGTGCTTTTGTTGTTAACTACTCTGAACTTTTTAGTGTTTGCATTTGTATGCCAATGGTGATGGTGTGGCACATGTAGGTCAAGTTCTTCAGTTTTTAAGTCTTTCTGAAAAAGAGAATTAAAGTCGACATGAGTGAGAGTACAATACTTCCAAAGTGTTCTGTTATGTCTATGAATATACCATAAATGTGTACGTAAATAGGAAGTAAATAATAGAACATGGCAAAATATCTGTTGTAACTACAGCTTTCAATGGCATTTTGAATTAGGTAAACAAGTAGCAAAAATACTTTATAATTGAAAAGTTTATTCAGGGTTTAACTGTATTTTTACCTATTCATATTTATTTACATTTCCTCGATGCCTGATTTGTCTATTTAAGACAATTGCGAACCCCCATTGAGTTCACTGTAGTTGGATGGACTTCTAATGCCTTACCTTTTGAGAAGCTTTTCTTCAGATATAACCCTGTATTAAAATGTGAATAGAAGGCAGGAAGAGATGCATGTTTTCAGTAGTGCTTTATCCTCTGAGCTGTCTTAGGAAAGTTAATGAGAAAGTACACACACCCCCTCCTTTCAAAAAATGAGGGGTGGGGTGAGGGGAAAAACAGCAAACACAAGGGAAATTTAGTGATCATCCCATACAGTGAAATCCCTCTAGTAAAGGTGTAAACACTGACAGATACGTAGAGTCTGGGGAAAAACCTTCATTAAGCAATCTACTTTGATTTATCACAAGATAGTCTTCAACTAAGTATATACTCTGATGCATATGTTTGACCTAAGTCTCATTAGAAGATCGTTCCTTTATTTTTTGAAGGCAAATTTAACTGGCTCCCACAACAACCAGGTGTTATCTCGGTATTACTACTGTAAATTGCTTTGTGGGGAATACTGACTGAGGAATCTGAGGTCATAGATAATGGTACATGTGTTAAAGAAAATCTATCCCACCTTTATTAATCTTGCAGTGGGGTATTTCTCTTTCTCTCTCTGTCCCTGGGTATGTCTATACTTACCTCCGGGTCCGGCGGTAAGCAATCGATCTTCTGGGAAGTGCTCACCGTCGACGCCGGTACTCCTGCTCTGCGAGAGGAGTACGCGCAGTCGACGGGGGAGCCTGCCTGCCGTGCCTGCCGCGTCTGCCTGCCGCGGTAAGTTCGAACTACGGTACTTCGACTTCTGCTACATTATTCACGTAGCTGAAGTTGCGTATCTTAGTTCAATGTGGGGGGTTAGTGTGGACCAGCCCCCTGTCTCTCTTTCTCATATATTTTGACCATTTTTCCACACTCTGGGCCAAACTCATTCCAGTGCTAAGAATGGAGCAAGGATTGAGGCAGCTTGTGTCATCTCGATGTGTCTGCTGTGGTCCAGTGCAGCCCCCAGTGCAAATTAGGGGGGGCTAAATTGCACTCTTTTTGCCATGGCTTCTATAGGCCTTCTGGCTTTGGAACAGCCAGGGTACAGAACTTCCCTAACTACACATGGCCAGGCTACCAAAATTCCCCCTCCCTCCTCTGGCCTATCCCCAGCCTGCCCCAGACGTTCCCCTGCCCCTTGGGTTTCCGAAAGTGTCAAGTTGGTGGAGCAAGCCCTGATATGCCCTGGAGGCCACTTGCTGAGGGACTGCGTAGCTACTGTGCTGGTGAGGGCAGGGAGCTGTGGGCCATATATGATTTAGGTCATGTCTTTCTCAATGAGTATGAGTAGGTCGAGAAGTATGGTTGAGATGGCACTTTCATTCCAAACCTATATTTTCCATGGCTTATAAATTCCTCAGAAATGCAGGTCGATCCTTTTGTAGTGTTCAGGTCCTTAGGCCTGGTCTATATTACAAATTTATGTCAGTATAACTATATCGGTCATGGCTATTGAAAATCCACACTCCGAGCTCCGCCGTAGTTAAAGTGATCTGACCCCCCAGTGTGGACAGCAGTAGGTCTATGGGAGAATTCTTCCATCAACCTAGCTACCGCCTTTTGTGGAGGTGGATTACCTATGCCAACATAGAAGGAGAACCCCTCCCATCTGCGTTGGTAGCATCTTCTCTGAAGCCTTTCTTTCACCCCTCGCGTTCCCGCCAGCAGGAGGTCATGCTGTTTTTACCCTCTTCCCCCAGTCAGGAGGGGGACACACTGTTTTTACCCCACCCCATCCTGCTGGGAGGGGGACATACTGTTTTCACTCACACATATACACCTAGCTAGTTTTTTCTGCATTTGTTAGTTGTGCATTTGATTTTTTCCTTTCTAAGTGAAATACTTTGCACTCGTCTTTATTGAATTTCATCTTGTTGAATTCAGACCAATTCTCCAATTTGTCAGTCATTTTGAATTTTAATACTGTCCTCCAAAGTGCTTGCAATCCCTCGTAACTTGGTGTCATCAGCAAATTTTATAAGAATACCTTCCATTCCCTTTTTCAAGTCATTAATGAAAATGGTGAATAGTACTGGACTGAGGCCTGACCCTTGTGGGACCCCACTAGATATATCCTCCCAGTTTGACAGCAAACCATTGATAACTACTCTTTGAGTAGTGCCTTTCAACCAGTTGTTCACTCACTGGATAGTAATTTCGTGTAGACCACATTTCCTTAATTTGTTTAAGAGACCATCATGTGGGATTGTGTCTAAAGTCTTACTAAAATCAACATATATCATGTCCACTGCTTCCCCCTTATCCAGTAGGCCAAAGAAGGAAATTAGGTTGGTTTGGCATGCTTTGTCCTTGACAAATCCATTTTCCCTATTCCTTATCACCTTATTATCCTCTAGGAGCTTACAGATTGATTGTTTAATAATTTGTACCAATATTTTTCCAGGTATTGGAGTTCGACTGACTTGTCTATAATTCGCTGGGTCCTCTTTGTTCCCCACTTTAAAGATAGGTACTATGTTTGCCTTCTCCAGTGTTCTGGGACCTCACTCATCTTCCAGGAGTTCTCAAAGATAATTGCGAATGGTTCTGAGATTGCTTCAGCTACTTCCTGAAGTACCTAAGACAAACTTGAATATATCTAACTTATCTAAATATTCTTTGACCTGTTTGTTCTCTGGCTTGTGTTCCTTCCATCTTTTTGTTAGTACTAATTGAGTATCTGGCCCCTATTAACTTTTTTAGTGAAGTCTGAAGCAAAATAGGCATTAAATGCCTCAGTTTTCTGGATGTCATTAGTTATTATCTCTCCTTCCCCGCTAAGTAGAAGACCTACACTTTCCTTCATCTTTCTCTTTCTCCTAATGTATTTAAAGACCCTGTCTTGTATGTCCCTTGCTAGTTGTAACTCACTTTGTGGTATAGTCTTTCTGATTTTATCCCTGCATGCTTGTACTGTTCTTTTCCCTTAGCAATTCATCCATGTTTCCCCTTTTTGTAGGCTTTCTTTTTGAATTTCAGGTAATTAAAGAGCTCCTATTGATGCTAATGTCCCAGAGGAAAGGAAGAGACAAGCCAGCCCCCAGGTATTCTGGAGACCCTCAGAAGCAGATCCAAAACCCAGGAGAACAGGGGGAGAAAGTCCAACCTTTCCCCTCCCAATGACAACTGCCAATATTATAGATCTCAGCTGGAAGCACATATTGGCCAGATGCCCTCTCAGAGACCCTCCATAACAGGAGGGGCCATAGCCTAAGATAACTCAGCTTCTACACACATACATTTCTCTTTCCCAAAGGGTGAGCAGATTAAACTAGTCTCCAGTTTTGGGATCTTTCTGTGCAGCTGGACTCTGTTCCCTCAGAAGGCACATGAAAACAAGAAGGCGGAGTATTCACGTTCCAGCCTTGCACGGTTCTTCCTTACTATGGAGCTGTGACTCTAGAGCAGGGGTCGGCAACCTACGCCCCGCATGCCAAAGGTGGCACGTGAGCCGATTTTTGATGGCATATGGCGGCGGGTTGAGCCACTCAGCCCGCCGCCGCTTTGGGGTTCCCACTGCTTGCCTTGCCAGCTGGGGTCCCGCTGCTGGTCCCACTCAGCGCCCGCTGCTGGCCTGGGTGAAGGAACCCCAGGCTGGCAGCGGGCTGAGACCCTGGCTGGCAGGAGCTGGCGGCCAGAACCCCAGAGCATCGGCGGGCTGAGCTGCTCAGTCGCTGCTCTGGGGTTCCGGCTGCTGGCCCCTTGCCAGCTGGGGTCCTCGCTGCAGCCCCACTCATCTTGCTTCCAGTGGGAGTTCCAGCACAGGCCCCCTGCCAGACAGGATCCAGGCCTCTGGCCCTGCTCAGCCCTACCAGCCGCCAGCTCCACTCACCTCAGCTGCCGATCTGGGGTTCCAGCCGCTGACCTCCTGCCAGCCGGTTAACACTGATCACTCAGAAGCCTGTGTGCAGCTTAAAGTATCCAAATACGTGCCAGACATTGGAAAACTCAGCAAGGAAAAGCAAGGGAAATAAAAACAACCCAGGAAACTACAGACCAGTTAGTTTAACTTCTGTGCCAGGGAAGATAATGGA